GTAAACGTTCTTCGTTTTAATAATGGCGGTATTGTGCTATGAACCTCGCAGCATCAATCGGACCCTGAAAGCACCTCCACCTCCCCACACCCCCCCCATCCACCCGCCCCGACGTCAAACGTTTGACTGCAGTATCTGATGAGCTTTATAATCCGGTGCGCCCTATATATGAAAAATGTTCTAAAATAGGTCATTCATTGAATGTGCGCCTTATAATCCCGTGCGCCATATAGTGCGAAAAATACGGTACTTACTTCATGTTCCCTTGTAACAAATGCAGCACATGTTGTTTATGTTGAGTGAAATGCTTTTACAACCCTCGGTTGTGGGCATGCATCCTTCTTTTTGGGTGAGCAGAATTCTTACATTTAGCAGAGAGAAAGTGGTGTGATGGTATCCAACCATGTGACGTTAAATATGTTTTCCAGGTCATGGAGTCATGGGACAACGATGCAACAATGTCACGAGAAAGCTAATAACAAACATTGGGAAACAATGAATTCATTCTTACTTACATAAGGATAGGTTGTGTGTTTTTTTTCACCCCTTTTCTCTTTCACTAGAAATGTGACACACAGTGAGAAACTCGAGTCCTTCTTTAGATGTGGTTGTGAAGACAATGACTATGGAATAGAATGATTGCCGAAGATATTTAAAGATGTTTCATTTAGAGGTGCTTAGTGATAATATTAATCCATGGCCAGAAAACATACTTTTGGGCTCAGGGGTGTCTGTAAAAAACGAGCTCTCAGGTCACTGCAAACATTTTCCAATGACAGTTCACAAAGTGCATCTCTCGATCTCCCTCTTTCTCTCTCGGGTTCACTGTTAAAGAGGCAGCGGAGCGGAGGAGGAGGCGATGATGGAGGTTCAGCGCCAGACGTGAGTCAGACTTCAGAACATTATGACTTCATGAGAGCTGAAGCAGAAACAGACATTGTTTCATTTCCGTTCACCTCTTATCAAATAACAACATGCACAGAACCACAAGTGTATGAGAATATATAGGTTTCAACATGATTAAACGGACACTGGTATGGACGACATTTCAACAGACGCTTTGTCCTGATACACTCTGGTCTCCATGGCACTTTTCTTTAGCGTATTTGCACAAGATTCTAGGTCCTCACAAAGAATAAAGACACACATTAAGGACATGAAACAAGCTCCTGTGAGTCTGCAGCTGCTGGGTAACTCCCCGCTCAATACTGAGAGGGAAAACTGTAAATCACTGAAACAGTTTCACCTTGACATGGACACGGTTCTGTTTACAGCTGCAATCAGTAAGATTATATCGAAGCGTTGGACTTTTCTGCCACTCGTTGGAAAAAAACTGTCTTTTAGATTCAGGACTACTGGTTGTTTTTATTTTTCTTTCTCTCTTGGAACTGGTTGGTAACTGGTATCTTTTAAGACTTAAAACAATACTTTATTAATTTCTTTAGTGGAAACCACAATTCTTTAATCTAGACGTGAAGAACACACATAGCAGCTGCAGACATGAATCCTTGCCTTTGTTGTGGTTATGCTTTTGCTCGAGGAGGACAAGAAAACTCAAAGTTTGATCACATCATATTTTACACCACCTTTTTACATCACTTTAACAGATTCCCGGATCGTGTTATTTTGCAGATCAACCGATCATAAATGATCAATGTCTGAAATTTGGGTAACCCATGAAAAGTTAATTTTTTTTAATTATTTATGAACTTTAGTGATTTATTTCTTATTTTACTAGTTGCAAACAAAATGAATCAATTACAAAAACATGTTTATTTACAGTATTTATTTTTATTGATAATTCATTACGTCATTGGTAGTTATAATGATGAGTCTCAGGAGTTTAAACAATTCACTTTCTAATATATTTTGGTTAAATGTCTCACATTGTCTTATATGTCTCATATTAGCTGAACAGAGCCTGAAGGCGTCATAATGTAAGTTAATAGTAGCTCAGTAGCTCTGAGATCCGGCGCTGCTAACGTTGCTCGGCCTGATTTTAACACAGATTTGAAGTTCACAATGAAGCGACTAGAAGATCTCTGAATCACATATTGCTCTCTAAATATTGCCTGATAACTATCGGCAGTACAACTTGACTGTTGAAGAGTGTAAGTAATCGCAGGTCACAGGGATGCCGACGGGCGGCACGGTGCTGGTGTGGTTAAGCCCGGTGGCCTCTCAGCCTGGTCCTGGCCTCTGTGTGGAGTCCGCATGTTCTCCTTGTGTCTGCGCCGCTTCTCTCTGGTTCTCCGGCTTCCTCCCACAGTCCAAAGACGTGGTCGTGACTTTTCCTGTAATGTAGTAAGTGAATGTTTGTCTTTCCGGTGACATTTTTGCCATTCATTCCAAACCGCAAGGGAATACTTCCCAGATACTGGATCGATGGGTCGGGTTTGATGCCTCGTTGTTAAGTGGCACCAGACGGAGCTGCTGCGTCCTACGTGTTGGTTTGTTAGTGATGATCAATGAAGGCTTTTGCTGTGATGTATGGCGAGCTCGCCAAAGCCACAGTCTTCCCTCCACAATCCCAGCCGTTGTGTTTCACAGGTGAAATTTGATCTGAGTCACTCTGGGGAAGGTAAGAAATGATTTAATAAGTCAGGCCGACAACATGTAATTCTAACGACTGCGTTACAAGCAAATGCTGATAAACACAAATGTATTCAACGTTCATGCAAATGCCTGGACCATAAACGTCTCCGAGCATATGATTTATGGATGGTCGTGTAATTCTCCCTCTGACCTCCTTTTTAAAATACTTGCTATGAATCCAGATCCCTGAACCCGAAGGCTCTGTGTGAGTCACTGTGAATTTGTATTTTAAATGAGCAGCTGCTCCTGACGCAAATAATGAGGTTGAAGATTATTTGAATAAATATTATGGAATTATGGAAATACCAAGATGCCTTTAGGGAGTCTAATGTGTACCGGCAGATCTACCTCAACTGATTCAGATGGGACACACCGCTTAGGTGTAATCTTACCATTTAAAAAAAAAATATTGAACTAACCACTGCTAATACATTTCTTATGGTGTGTTAGAATAAGAAACAACGCATTGCCCATGTTATAAATGAAACCCTACGTTCTTAAAATCTTATTATCCAATACAACCTCCAAGTATGATTCTTACTTTTGTTATTTCACACAAAATAATGGTGAACACAGTCTCGTCCTGCTAAAAAGCCGACAGGGACCAACACTGAACGGCTCTAAACATTCGAAACATTCACGCTTGTCAGTCAGAAATCGGGGCCTTTGTTCTGGGCCGATACGAAAAAGCAATGTGAGGGTCTATTTTTACATCTGCATTTGTCTGTTTGGGGGGACTGCTGACCTGCTTCCTCTGCAAAATAAAAAATACAGCTGAATGAGTTACTAATAAGATTAAAAAATGCTTCCAAAAAATGGATTCTGGGTCACATTAGTCACAGTTGTGGGAGGCATAAACATAAATAGCGGTACCACAATATTGAAATTGGGTTCCTTTTGTAGTGAATGAGAGTAAGAATATTTTTTGTGCACAGTACCTAAAATAGTATGCACTGGTGTATACTGGTGTATTGTATGTTTATATGTAATGTTACAAAGCCAATGTTGATTGCTTTTATACCAGTACCCTTTAATTCTGATATTTTATTTAGACTGATCTGATATTTCATATAAGCTCTATTGGGGCTTTTAATAATACACCGAATTAACATATACTGATGTTTTCTGGTATAAGCCTCTGGTATCGCTATCGACTCTTTTTGGGAAACAACTCATGAAATAGCTTCTGACTCACGCATCACTTTAACTATTTGTTCTCTCCCTCCCTCTTGATTGTGTGTAAATCTCAAGTCAAAATGCTCATCGGAATGCATTAGATTCGCTGATTAGCATCAGGCGATATATGATCGAGAACACATGCCGCTGGCCGTGTGTTGAACGCTGAACAAGAGCCTTCAAAGGCAAGAAAAGCTGCACTGGGGAAAACAGAACCGTTTATATTCGTCACATGTTTTTTTAGTAAGCCCTGGGCTAAAGGATAAAGAGACCAAACAGATTCGGTACCATTCATCAATCTGATAATTGCTTGTTTCTGCTTGGTTTGGACCTGCTTCTTTTCTAAATGACAAGAGGCATTTTTAAAATTAAGGCAGCAGTGATGACTTTGAGACTTTCTCGTTATATATTGCAAGAAGTGCTGCTAGCTAGATTTAATGGAAAACAGGCCAGGTTTTTCATTCTGACATTTTCAAAAAACAAGCGTGTACTCCTGCTGGTTTCCCAAGACTACCAAGCCTAGCTTTATAGTTTATTTGAAATAAATACAGTAAAAGACTAAGACAAAGGAAAATCTGTAACTCTTTCAGTAATTATTAGCTTCACAGAACAGAACCGTATATTTTACATCTGTTCCTGAACAGGCTGGCAAAATACATACTGAATATCTGAATAGGAAAACAGCAGCACGACCATCTTTCATGTCCCAGAAGGTGTTTCGGTATCCTCACTCTATGATAAATCACTCTTGTGATAACCAGGTGGTCTCCTGGTAATGGCAGTCTGGCCTCTGTTTAGCTGCTCTATATAGAGCTATATATAGCAGAGGTGAGCAGTGAAGCACAGAGGGCGAGTGACAATGTTCCCTTGGAGAGAGCGAGTTATGGCCCCTCCTCCCAAGAACAATAGAGCCATGTGTGTGAGCATTCCTGCTTTCTCCGCCGTCGTCCTTCACACACGTGTATTCACAGTAAAACCCATGTGCAGTACTATGCTCATTGTTGTATGTCGTACAATGCGTTCTTCTTCCTTTTTTCTGGCTCCTCACATCTTCCGCTCTCCCCATACTGGCCCCCAACCCCACGAGGACAAACCGTAAATCTGACCTCCCCTCTGATGTTACGGGGTATGATAATGTGCAGCTCTGGAGGTCTGGATCAGCACAAAGTGAAGAGAGAAGAAGGTGACTTTGTAGTAGTTTAACCAGATTATCTATTCACCTTATTATAATTGGTATGCATAATTTATTTCTCACTGATGCACAAATACAAATGTTAAGGCCTGGTGCCTCCTTTCAGACTGACATGCAAATGCACATCCAAAGCAACGATACATGGCAACGTCGACAAACAAAAGTCTACAGAAAATCCAGCCGCCTTAACATCATTGCGCTGAGTACAGGAGTGCTTTCATGCCAAGACAACACTAAAGAAAGAGGTGTTGCAGGGATCACGTAGTCACTTTCCACAACATTTCTAACCATTCAGAATTGAGGTTTAGGGCAAAAACTGCAACATGAAAAAGAATGGAGAGAATTGGAACTGAAGAGCACCTGAACTAAAGTGTCCAGTGTCCAGAGTGCAATGACACTGTATCAACGCTCACTCGTAGAAGCGGCCACTAGGACACTGGGAATCGTTGAGTGACAAAAAAAGAAAAGGTTTGGTCCCTATGTTCAAACAAGCTTCCAACAAAGGTCAGTTTCATGTCGGTTGATGGTAAATATGTGCAGCGGATGAAAATTCTTTCAAGATTTTTTTTTTCAGGCCCTGACGCCCCTCACTTACACAAAATATATTGTAGCTTGTGGTTGGATCAAAATTGTCATATTTATATCAATATTAATCAGCTTTATCTACAACAAAAGACATACACACTTTTTTGTTCTCCCTAGGTGATTTTATGTGGATAACCAAGTACTTTTCATTTCCTCATCTCACTTTTGCCATACAGAGAAATTCGTCTTAAACACAGAACTTGTTGTGCAAGTTGAGTGATGAGAAATAAATCAGGGAAAATTACAGACATTAAAAATTAAAGACATTCGACTGTAAGTTGATCAGGAAGTTTTGGAAGTTACAAGTTAAAGGAATGTAAACAGTATCAGGTCGACCGTGGGCAATGCCCAAGCATGTCGTTTAGGTTGAAGGAGATTGAAGGATGGTTTTCAGGCAACACAGTTTCAGTTAAGGCTGTTTTTCCGCTCCAAGGTGCCAACAAAATGTGGCAGCAATAACTGATATATTTGACTTTCAAATCAAGATAAATTAAAGCTTAGAGTTCTGATTAATTTTAAATGGAAAGAACATAAGCTCACATAACGTAAGAAACACTTCTACTATAAGACTTCTTGCTGTCACAGTTTAGAAGCTGAGGTACTTCATAAGGCTTCACTAAATTTTACCGACCAGTAATCTCTTTTTTTTTAAACCCTTCTGCTGTTCTTCCAAAAAAATCATGTCCTACATTTGTGTGTCAAAAACGTTTACTTCCGCAATTTGTCCAGTTCAGTCTCCATGTGGTTTCTACTGAAAGTGTGTCTCCTCTCAGACCACCAACAATACTCGGAATATGCAGAATGTGGATTATTTAGATAATTCCAATTCAGTATTAAAGAACGTCTTCACGGGCATTGTGAATCATTCCTGACACAGTGGTTAGTTGTGCAAGTGGTGTTCAATACGATCCTTTAGCCTCACTGTAGGGACTAAAGCTGGTCTTTTGATCTACACTAAGATTGAGAACCTCAACTGGGCGGATTTGGAGAACATTTGATGGAGACATTTATTGATCCTGAGGACTTTGGCAATCCCCTAACCTTCATAGCGCTACAGGCATCTCAAACTTTCCTCTGGTCCAACACTCCCTGAGGACACCTCTAAGGCTAACCCCCCCACTCTTTGTCAGCTTCAGTTGCACACTGGGATTGATGACAATACAGCATATCGACGTGCTAATGTTAGCATGCGGTGCAGATGACAGGCTGACAAACTAAAGCTTGGTTTGTTTAAGTCTTGAACCTAACATTAAATTTGCAACAAAGAACCAAGCTGTAGAACGGATATTCCCTTTAGGTTTACAACATGACCTGTTGTCCTCGAGGGACAGCCGAGTAAATCGCCCAACAACAAATCTCACTGGGTCTTCTAACGTGGCGACAGACAACCTGTGTTGCTGGTTTCAGGTTGAAGTCACTTCCTAACACCGAGGATGGTCATCTGCAGACATTCCTCCTTCAGAGCCACCAGTTCTGTCTTGTAGCTGCTCGTCTTGGCTCCATCGGCGTACACACAAGACTGCTTCTTTGTGGACAGCGGCGTATCCACAGTCACTGAGCCGGCGTTGAGCAAGTCGCCGTGCGACGGTGAGGAAGAGGAGACCCTCTTGCAAGCTGCTGAAAGCAAAGCCGAGAGGGCTTGGCCCACGTCATGCCTCGCCCCCTCGTTGACGAAACAGTACAAGATGGGGTCGGCGACGCAGTTGAGGCTCGTCAGAGCCAGCGACACGTGGTACGCTGCAAACAAGTTCTCCTCTGAGCCACAGTCGCACGGCTTCCTTAGAAACATGACACTCCGCACCAGGAGGAGGATGTGGTACGGCCCGAAGCACAGCAAGACGATCAAGATGAGGCTTAGTGCCAGGCGCTGGATTTTGGCCTTTTCCTGGCGCTCTGTCGAGACGTTGCAGCGCACCGCCACCAAGATCCCACGGTAGGCCACGAGCATGGCTGTCCATGGCGCCAGGAAGCCCAGAAATGTCCTGTAGAGGTTCATCCCTGCCACCCAGTCCTGCATGGGGTACTTCTCAAAGCAGAAGGTGTGGTTGAAGCGATCCTGGAAGAGCTCATCATGGAAGAGGGGCGCAGAGTTGGCTATGATCTCAATTATCCACACCATGGCGCTGACCAGGACAGCTGTGGGAAATTAAGGAGAGGAGAATAAATGAATGATAAATACTTTGCAGTACATTCCTGTGGCCTGCTTGAACAAGTCTTTACTGTGACTGCGACTAGCAGATCCCAATTGGGGCCCAAACAAGCCAGAAACTAGGTCGGAACCAGTGCAATACTACTGATATATGTTTTTTAACAGTAACTGATTGTCACACATTGCATCACTTACAGAGGTTCCCCTTTACCTCCACAAAAATACATTGTACAGATAGACAAAGTAGTTACAGAGTTAGTTATTTTGATCATGGCTGTGCCATTTTCGGAGCAGAGGCCGAAAAAGAGGCTCATCAGAGTTGCTAACGACACTGAAGAACATTTCACCTCTCAGCCAGGCATCATTATCTTCTTTAGTTTTAGGTTGGATACATTATGAAAAGTGCATCCTTGAGCAAGCATACCTGTTTTGATTCGTCGCACCTTGGCGAAGCGCAGGGGATACGCCACGGCCAGGTACCTGTCCAGCGATATACAGCAGAGGAAGGCGATGCTGACGTAGATGTTAGTGTAGAAGATGAAGCCGAACAGCTTGCAGCTCTCCTGACCGTGGATCCAGTCATCGTGCTGCAGGAAGTAGTCGATCCACAGAGGGAGAGTGGTGATGTAGAGGAGGTCAGCCACTGACAGGTTAATCAGGTAGATGCCGAGCTCATTGCGTTGACGTACCTGGAGGACGTAAATTGAAAGGATCCAATGGATGAAAAAGCAAACGACTGGTGCAATGGTGGAGAGGATAAGAGGGTTCTGTTCCACTCAGTGAAAATAGACAAACAGTGTCTGTTTGCTTTTTAAGCAAACATCTGAAATGTGACTGACTATAAAATGCAAATCACGTGTGTATTGGGTATATCAGCTAAAGAATCGATTTGCTTCCTAAATGTCAAAACTCTGAACCGAAGAAAATAAGAGTGAAAAATTAGGGCTGATTGTATTATTGTTAACGTTATTAATGTATTTCATGCCTCAAAAAACTCGTACTGTAAGTGTTCTTGGTAATAGAGTGAAGTCAGGGACAAATAACCAGCAGTTTAACTTCCATTGAGCTTTTCTAATTTGATTTGTCCACTAAGAGACTGCACTGTTTCACATGTAGTATTGATATTACAATTTTAATATTTGGACTTCCTTGGGTAATCAAACAGTGCGCCAAGTATGTGCTTGTTTTGATTCAGTTCGGGCATCGGCGGTCACAGAGCTCGCAGCGCTCAGCAACGCAGTGAATGCAGCGGAGGACAGAGCGCACGTGGGCTCCTTCGAGTCGCGCTGCGCTTGAGCCAAAGGCTGGACCTGAATCCAGAAAGTTGGAGGAGTCGCCCTGATGCTGAGGTGGAAGTGAAACGATGAGTTGAAATGTCCTCACTTGCACGAGCTACGGCACTTGCTCGAATGAAAAGTCAATAAAGATTCTGTCCGCTGCTGCCAAAGTAAACAGTCTGTCACGGTGTGGTTCACTTCCTGTTGTATTTTGTAGTTTTCTGCCACTCGTGTCCCCGGGTAACTTCACTTCCTGCCTTGCCCCGTCATCCCCTGTGATCGTCTAATAGTTTCCACCTGTGTCCAATCACCTGCACCTCCCTTGTGTATTTAAGCCGTGTGTCTGTTGTGTCACGTGTCATTGTCTTTTGTCGTGGATGGCCGTAGTTTCCTGTCTGCTGTTTTTCCCCCTGGTTCCTGTGTGATTTTGCCTTTTGACTATTAAAGTCTTTTGTTTCCGTGAAGTCTGCATTTCAGTCTTGCCTCCTCCACGCTTCCCTGACACAGTCTGTGGGAAACACTGGAAATGTTTTATGCTGTAGAACAATGGTCACCAAACTACGGCCCGCCGGCCAACTACGGCCCGCCGGCCAACTACGGCCCGCCGGCCAACTACGGCCCGCCGGCCAACTACGGCCCGCCGGCCAACTACGGCCCGCCACCCCCCTTTGACTGGCCCCCCAGCACATCTGCCCTCCACTACCCAACGAGGCAATCCCCAAAAGTCGTCATGGCATAACGGTCAGTTCCCTTCCGATTCACTCGCTTGTTGCGATGTTGCCTGAGGCGAAGTCGGTGCTGACAGTGTTGGCAAGTTACTTCCAAAATGTAATTGTACTGTCACTCGCGGACTTTTTTTCCCTCTGTGCCGAAATGTTTGGTGAATTCTTTAAAAAAAAAAAAAAAAAACTTCCGCGCAGGACTTCACTGTGAGCGGACTGTTTAGAGACGATGTGACCGGCATGTAAAGTTAAAGTTATCTGCTCCTGTAGCAGAGCTGCAAGTTTAACTGAAAGAACGAGCAGAGAGAGAGAGAGACGGTCACTAAGCGCTGTCTTGCTCTCTTTCCCTCGCATATATTGATCAAAAAAGTCATGGCATGTGCCGAAGAGTCATGGAAAAGTAGTGGTTAAAATGTGTATGAACCCTGAATATGGTGCTTCTTGTGTTCAATCCGTCATCCCTCCATGCCAGGGCTCCAGAAGGCACAGTGAAGAGAGGAGATACATCAACAAGTGCAAATCCAGCTCACCTACATATACTACTGATTTTGATTCCCATTATTCGGTATTATGGTTGTGCTTTAGTTTTGAGCCTACTGCTCATTTCATTTTCACCTTGACCTAAAAAATGTTTACTGAACATGCTCACCTGGATAGGCGTACGAGCTGGCCAGTTGTTCTATTACTCATATTATAATTTCAATGTTTTTTTTATTTATTTATTTTATAGGCCTATGTATGTGACCTTTATTAAGTGCTGCACATAATTATTAATATCAACAGGCCTACCTATAATTTATCATTTTTCACTCACCTTTGCCAGTGTCAATCACCTCAACTAGGCAGATGTTTCTTACCTTGACAGCTTTGATGTTATTTTTATTTGAAAATAAATAAATCTGATATTTCAAATTAAAACAAAGTGTGAAGACTCGATTACTACTTTTGCAAACCACTAGTAAAGATAAACAAATATGTGCCAGGAATCAAGTGTTGATATAGTAGTGTGGATATAGTAGTGTTGATATAGTAGTGTGGATATAGTAGTGTTGATATAGTAGTTTGGATATAGTAGTGTTGATATAGTAGTGGGGGTGGCTGTGCCAGGCTAGTAATCTCTACTACACAATGAGGCCTGCTGGTGGTCATTTTGATCTGGGTCATATGTTATATAGCTCCGGCCCCCCATCACAGTCAGGAACGATAATGTGGCCCCCAGAGAAAAAGTTTGGTGACCCCTGTTGTAGAGGAAAAGCAGCCTCAGTGCTGCAAGAAGTGTCTGGCAGGAAAATAGGAGTTAGACATTATTTTGATTTCAAAAAGTAATCTGCTACAAAACATTTGACCCGACTCACCAACACGCTGTTCTTCTGAACTGACTTTTGGGGCGTTGGGACTGTGTTGTCAGTCGGTTGGTGCATCATTGGGGCTTTACAGTGTGTAAAGGTGGAGACGTTTTGACACACACCTTCGTAAGCTCGGTCTTTCACTTCAAATTATTTGTTTAACGCGGACATTTTTATATACAAGGCATACAAGGCTCTTTTGTACCTACACTGCAGCCACCTGCCAAAGTATATTTTTTCCCACCACAGTTTTAAAATGAACTGAAAATATTCTTGAGCTTCTCTGCAGATGGGCCAGCTCTGCCCTCGGGAACATTTCCTCGGTTGGGCGGCGGACCGGCATTAGTTCTGCCCGGAGGAAAAGAGGAGGAAAGTAGCTTCCCCTTCTTCTTGGAGCCAAAAACGTATAGCGCACGCTAGCTCGATCTCTGGGAGGAGCGACTGAGCCCTCTCTTAACTGCAGTGGGTAAATAGACCCCCAAAAGTAAATGCATACTCAACGTGTGTGTGTGTGTGTGTGTGTCATCCTCACCTGCCTGTAGGCCGCCCACAGGGCCATGCAGTTGGTGGGCAGACCCAGAACGATGACGATGATGTAGAGCGTTGGCTGGAAAAACTGGTCCACCTTACTGTCCACATCACAGAACGAGATGTTGCACATTGTTCTGCGTGGACCGCTCCGAGTGTTTTTTCTGTTTTTTTTGTGTGTGTGTGCGTGTGTGCAGATGTGCGATGTTTAGCAACTCTCAGCTCTGGCTGTCCCTCTGTAGTTTGACTTTATTCCAGCTCCAGCAGTTTGACAGTGACGTGCCGACCCTGGCATCCTGCTCGGCTACCACGCGGCTGTCCGACATGGAGCAATGGAAGAAAACAGAGCTGTCGATTCTGTTGCATTTCATGATTCGTCTTTCTTAAAACGCCGCCTTCCTCTTGGCGTGTCATAATCCTCTCTCACGCTTTAAAGCCAGATCCGGCATCCCTCAGCATGGAGGAGGAGAGGAGAAGAAAGGAGGGAGCGAGGGGACCAATGTGGTGAAATTGAAGCTGCCTTATCGACGCTGCGCCAGGCCTCCTGCGCTTTAACAGCACCTCATCAATCTTTTAGAGATTAGAGGTCTGCAGGTCTGCTGTAGTAAGGAGAGGCTGGACATCAATGTGTGTGTGTGTGTGTGTGTGTGTGTGTGTGTTGGTCCTGATGATGGAATGGTTTTACAGAGCTTCACCCCGCTGGAGCCGAGAGGCCGTCCGTTTACTCAGGGCTGCTGAACGTCTGTAAGAGAGAGAGAGAGAGATGGAGTAAGAGGTTGCTGAATTATTATGCCTCCAGTTTAAAATGCTAAAGTAATGTGACATCTTTTTTTCAGTGGAAAAAACGTGTTGCATTTAATAAGAATTGCCATTGAAAGGCTTTGTGATTTGAAGAATTTGTCCATGTTCAATCTCAAGTGTTTCTTTTTAGTCTAGTGTTTAGTTTCTAGATCTGTAGTTTTTCCTCTTTCAAGAGCGATTTCAATGTAGTTTTTTTTGTAATAAACTTAATTTTAAACTTTGGAGCCATGCAATTGGGTTCATGTCCATTGACCGGTCGTGACAAACTAGTGGCCTTTCTTAGTTGGTTTCCAACTGGTGGTTGACAATTGTCATTGACAATGCGGGAGCTAATAACTTGCAGTTAGTACTAAATAGTTTGTTTAATTATTACGGTTTAATTGAAAGATATATTAAGATGACTTTTTCTGTTTTTGTAGTCAATTTAGTTTAATCATTTTTTGTAGTTTAAGTACACAATGTTTTGGTTAATTGGTTGATAATTAAATGACTAATTAATTGGGTAATACTGTAGGCACCTTGAGGTTATTTAAGGGCATAGCCAGGTATAGGACCAGCATGCACCTGGGTGATATATATATATATATATATTTTTTTTTTTACCAGCATAGGAGAGCAGCGTAGGAAGACAGTCATAGGAAAGGAAGCCAAGTTATTCTTCTGTGTATGTTGGCTTGTCTTGTGAGCAAAATAAAATATGAAACAGAAGGAAAGCCTGCTTGGAAAATCCACTCTTTGCTGCGTAATAGAAACAAACCAGTGGTGCATCAGTGGCCCTTTGACACAATTGTTTATTATTCCCAAAGACAAATGGCCACTGCAGACAAGTCGGCTTATTTCTTTGACATTTGGTACTCTGCTCTTAAAATGAATCCTAAAGCATCGTAGCCAACCTCTGATTCACCGAGTCTGTACTGTGTCATCAGCTGCCTGATTGCAACTGAAAACCTGATAGTAGCTTTATAAACGTTACCTTTTTAGAATAAATAGAAGTAGTAAAGTTTTGTCTTTATTATTGCATTTTGATATTTATAAAAGTAAATTAGTTAGGATGGTCCAGTTGTAGAAGTGGGTGGAGCCATTCTCCTTACGCCGCGTGACGTAATTCTTCCAGCAATCCACGTTTGTGTTTCAGGCTCTTCAGTAACTCTAACATGTCACTCATCAAGTAATCAGCCAGGCTGCAGATGCAATAAACCCTCCTTGTCCATTTCTTGTTTGCTGCTGTCCTGCTGTTAGTAGTGTTTCAATGTAGATTCATTTTGCCTGATAACACATTTCCGAGTATTGATCTTAACTTGAGGGGGGGTGGGTTCGTTTTCGGATAGATAGTTAATCATTTGATAGCATAATTTGAACTAAACATTTGAGCATTGTGTAGCATGAGTTTGGGGAGCCTGCTGTTAAAGCTCTTTACAATGCTCTTTGTGTAGTATTTCACATTCTCCCGTGATCATACTGCTCAGGAATGCAATGATACAAATGTTTCAGGCTCGTTTCCTTTATTTATTCGCTGCACGTTTCGTTCACTTATGTTCACTACGTTTTCTTGCAAAAATAACTTGTACATTTTATGCGTTTTGTATTTGTAATCCTACTTGCAGGGAAACCCCCCCTGAAAACTGAGACACACACTCAATACATTCCCTGAAACCCTTTTCTTCTCTTATACTGGATTCTGCGACCAGGGAATGAGACAGGGGGGAAAGAGAAAAGCACAGGATGGAGACTACATGCAGCGTGTACAGTGAATATATACAGTATGCATGTACAGTAGAGAAAGCAGGGAGCTCCGTTTGTTTTTCACTCCTCAAGCTCACCTCCTGTTGATACATCTTTGACTGCCTTAATATTTTTGAAATATGGATGAAATTAGTACACATATGGCTTCTTATGAAACAATAGATTTCAGAAATGGCTGTGAAAGTCTTTCAGCCTGAGGAGTCAAAAGAATTTTGAAGGTTTTATTTATGTCAGTAAAGTATTTATTCAAGTAAAGCGTGAATCAAATTAGTTGAACAAATCAAGCCGGCCCGGCTGTCTTCAGCCCTGCACACTAGTTCAGGGATGGTGGCAATAAGGTGAACTTTCTCTGTGGACCATGAATGTCAGTCATGCATGTCGCTGCAATCCAACCTCATTGAGCACAAAGCTGACAAAAAGATCTTCGGACGGTGCATAAAAATATAAGAAATTCTTCCAAAGATAAAGAGTCAGCGTTCAGTTACTGTCCAAAAAACCCAATTAGAAGTGTCAGAGATGACGCCACCTGTAATAAAGTGGTGATGCCATGGTGTTAAACACAGACTAAGGTTATTTGTTCTGTAACCTTGACCTTGTCTTTGTTTTGGGGAAACATCCAGGTTGATGAGCTGAACCGTGTGATGAACCCATTGTCCTTTCATTTCATCAAGGTTTTAAAAGAGAGCCCTAGTACAGAAATGTTGGATTTAAATGGAAAAAACAAAGACAAAAAATGCTGAAAAAAAAGTAAGAAGGGAAAGACAGAAACAGGAGATACAAATTAGTTACGTTTAGTAACGGGATTCTATGAGTGTAGGCACAGCCCTCCAAGAGCTGCGGCTTTGTATCTCATGCACGGTTGTGAACATTCTTTCCTTGCACTGATGCACTGACGTCCACGCTGGGAGACCGTGGTTCTGCTCCCAGTTTCTACTGGCCGAGCACTGTCGAACCAGAGCTATGCCTGTACTCATGGTCACCTGCAGAAATTGCAAGTGAGCAGCACCCGTCCCGGCCTGAGGGTGTGCTGACACGATGCCGTCCCTGCCACATTCACACCAAGCGGAGCTGAGCTTCTCTGAACAGAGCGGGCCGACAGCCTGCAAGGAATGAGCTGGGATGTCTTCATCTTCTCTTGTTCTACACTTGTTGGCAGAGCCACGGTCACGCAGCTCTTACACGTTCCTTCATGAATGCAAAATAGCGACAGCTAACAGTAAAGTACCCTTTTTTTCCCCAAATTGCACTAGAGTACAGTACTTGACAAAATGTTCTCAGATACATCTAACCTTCCCATTTAACACCTTCACATTTAAAGGGATAACACGTGTGAAGTTGTTTGGGACAGAAAAAACAGATGTTCTGTTTTACCCTGCGGTCACATTGCTTCACTATCAAGGAGCTGAGATCACACCGCGGAGCCGCCTCGCTTCCTAATTAGATAAAACAGCGGGGCCACATGCCGACCCAACAACTGCCAATCAACCCTTTCACTTCTCAACGTCTACTCGGGGTGTTGATGGCGGACATGGGGTGATTCTGTGCTAAGCAACAACACTAACAGGGCAGGAGATGGGTCGGTATCGCCGCATGCGGCAAACAGCACTTGTGCTTCCTTTGTCCACCCTTCCGTCAAAGATGTGGATTGTTCGGTCCGTTACAGATGTTTATTACGCAACACGCACACAAACTCTGTTTCAACTCTGTACAACTCTGTTCTCCGAACTCTGTTTGGTTCATGCTCATGTGCCTGTCTGTGCCGATGTGGGCGGCGGTATGGATGCTTTGACACAGTTAAACAATCATGGTGCCTAATCACAATCACAGATAAACATTTCATTTATAATATTCTTCACAATGAAAGTGCCCCGTTATCTTCTTCTCCTGTTATACTCTTCCTCCCCTGTGGTGTATATGTGCGGCGTTGAATTGTTGTCATTGAAGCATTGCCGCCATCAAAGCTGGGCTAATTCAGTGACACATACATTTCATTTCCTATACACTATTCCCAAATTTTATTCGTTCTTTTTTAGTTTCCGAGCTGTTATTGTGATGTAGCTAAATCTGAAAATGTTGGGTTTTCATCAGAAGCCTCTTGTTACAACTTCCACACAGCTGAAAGCAAAACATTAAAACGTAAAGATATGTGAAAGTGCAAACAGGGACACACGGGTAAAGACTCTTCACACCAAAGAGATCTACTCAAAGTGCTTTGCTTATTTAACACTCTATTGTTTGTCAGGTGTTGCAGTCCTTTGTCTTTTGTCCCCTGCTAATCAGTCCATTCATATGGTCAACACAGAGTGCTCAATAAGAACAAATACAGCATATATGCACTACTGAGGTCAGCAGGAAAGTTGGAAGTAAGTCAGCAGGAGTTGTTTTACAGATGCTTAAGAGCTCGTTTCTAGTGAAAGAGCTCCGGGAATCGTAGCAGAAAACTGACTTTAAAAACAAAAACAACACTAAACATAGCGCACTGATGCATGTTTTCTAAGAAACATGAGAAAGATTTGGAGAAGTGGGATTTCTACTTAGAACCACGACAGGCACGGGAATTACTGGACATCTTGGTGAAAGGTGTGCTCACCTCCACTCACGCAGTGAAGCGCAGGAAGACGTGCGTCTTCGCAAACGTGGTCTGGACAAGGACAAACCAGGACAAAGAATGATGAAAAAAAGGGAAAAACAGATGGAGATACAAATTAGTTACATTTAGTAACGGGGGATGCAATGCGTGTAGGCACAGCCCTCCAAGAGCTGCAGCTTTTTGGTGCACAGTTGTGAACACTCTTTCCGTGCACTGATGCACTGCACGGACCTCTCTGACGTCCACACTTGCTGCATGTAAACGCTGGGAGACCGTAGTTCTGCTCCCAATTTACACCAGCGTTTCTACTGACCGAGTACTGTGGAACCAGACTTATGCCTGCACTCATTGTAGTCATGGTCACCTGCAGAAAACTGCAAGTGATCAAACCAAAGAGATCTACTCAAAGTCAGAAAGTGCTTTGCTTATTTAACACTCCTTGGTCTTTTCTTTCCTGCTAATCAGCCCATTCATATGGTCAACAGCCGCTACGAAGAACATAAAAAATCTACAAAACCGTGCTGCAAGATTAGCACTACAGTGTTAAATAAGAACAAATACAGCCTATATGCACTACCAGGCACGTGCACACCTGTAGGTCAAGTTGG